TCGCCAAGTTGCCCAGGCGGGTCTCTAACCCGCGGGCTCAGGCAATCCACTCACCTCGGCATCCCAAAGCTCTGGGATTACAGGCTGAGCCACCGAGCCCGGCTTATGTATTTATTTTTGAGTCGAAGTCTCACTCTGTCGCCCAGGCTGGAGTGAAGTGGCGTGATCACATCTCACTGCAGCCTTGATCTCCTGGGCTCAGGTGATCCTTCCGCCGCAGACTTCTGAGTAGCTGGAACTGCAGGGGCATGCCACTACGCCCAGCTAATTTTGGAATTTTTTTCGAGGATGAGGTCTCACTACGTCGCCCATGCTGGTTGCCCGTTTTTAGAGCTCTCCTCAGTTGAGGTTGTAACAGACTTTCTAAGAGCCAGGAAAGCCCACAAGGTCACCAACCCCTTGAGGGGTCCTGACCCTGACATTTGGGCAGCAGAGCTCAGGTGACCCCTACGCTTATGAGTCTGACAAAGCGGGGGGCCTGCCTTTAGCAGGTTGCTCGATCCCTCTAAGCCTGTTTTTGGAATCTGTAAAATGGAGACAATGTCTACTTCGCGGTATTGTCAGCAGCATTAGACGAGATTATGTGCAAGCGACTCTATTGTGACAAAAAGCAGATCCGGGGCTTCCTGGGGCCAGGGGTGGGATGAGCAAAGCACGGCAAAAGGTACAAGGACGTTTTGGGGGCGATGGGAAGGTTCTGGATCTTGATTATGAGGTTTGAGGCATATTCATCTGTCCAAACTCATCACATCGTGCACGTGAAATGGATACAGTTTGTTTTATGTAAATCACAAGATCAGAATATAAGGCGCTTGGCATGTGGCCAGGTTCATAATCAGTGATTAAAAAAAAGTTAGCTATTAATAATAATGCATAGCCAGGCTCGGTGGCTCAGCCTGTCACCCCGTGCCTTGGGAGGCTGAGGTGAGTGGATTGCCTGAGCCCGTGGGTTCGAGACCCGCCTGGGCAACTTGGCGAGATCTTATCTCTACAATAAATCAAAAAATTAGCCGGGCGTCGTAGCGCCCGCTGTAGTTCCGGCTACTTGGAAGGCTGAGGCTGAAGGATCGCCGGAGCCCAGCAGGTCGAGGCTGCGGTGGCCAGGAGCAGCCACTGCACTCCAGTCTGGGTGACAGAGTGAGACTCCAATTAAAAATAATAATAATAATAATGCATAACAAACTAGGCAGTCTTCTGTGGCATGGTGTGGTAAGTCACACTATTGCTTCTAGATCAAAATTCATCTTGAGTTCCTCCACCTGTTTGTATGTTATGCCTTCTTGTTCAACTAATGCCAGCATGACCGACTTCCTCCACCTGTTTAAAAAACAATAGGCCAGGCACGGTGGCTCACCCTTGTAATCCCAGCATTCTGGGAGGCCGAAGCAAGAGAACTGCCTGAGCCCAACAGGCAAGGCTGCGGTGGCTGTGAGCGTGGCACTGCATTCCAGTCTGGGAGACAGAGTGAGACTCTGATGAAAGAAAGAAAGAGAGAGAGAGAAAAAGAGAGACAGGGAGGAAGAAAGGAAGAGAGAAAGGAAGGAAGGAAGGACAAAAGACAGACCACTTGGGTTCCTGGTTTGTTTGTTTTTTTTTGAGTTGGAGTCTCACTCCGTCGCCCAGATTGGAGTGCAGTGGCTGCTCCCAGCCACCGCAGCCTCGACCCACTGGGCTCCGGCGATCCTCCCGTCTCAGCCTTCCAAGTAGCCGGAACTACAGGCGTGCGCTACCACGCCCGGCTGATTTTTTGATTTATTGTAGAGATGAGGTCTCGCTGCCCAGGCGGGTCTCGAACCCGCGGGCTCAGGCAATCCACTCACCTCAGCCTCCCAAAGGCACGGGATTACAGGCTGAGCCACCGAGCCCGGCTTTCTGGTTTTTTTTTAAACCATTCCAACTCCTTCACCTTCTAACTCCAAACACCTGCTCACAGCGTCTGCCACCTTCTCCTGTATTCCCAAAGATGAACAGTTCCCATATCCTAAAGTCCCAGCGATCAAACTTGTCCTTGTCCTATCTGGAGATCATCTACAGCTAAAGGGATGAAAGGAGTGAAGAAGCCTCAACCAGGAAACGCTCTTACAGCCATCACGCGGCAGCCATCTTTCTCTGCGTAGCACGGCCACCACCCTTTCATGGACTTCTGCTCAAAGAGGGAGGCGGTCTTGGTTTTCAGGGGGTCCGTGGCTCTGAGGTCCGGGATCATGTCCAAACGGCACTTCTCCGATGATTTTGCTGGAATGATGGTGTGATGCAAATCGAGTTCTAGGAAACCTGGCCAAGGAAGCAACACGACATCCATATAAACTTCAGGCGGGGCAGCCATTGTTCACAAGTGAACAGCTGGTCCTCGTCAAGGGAGAGGTGTCACACAGTGATTTAGAACAGGTGATGGAGGAGTCAGAGAAGGGGACCCTGGTCGATGCTTAAGTCCTTTCCAGATAAGATGGAAAATGGTAGAAGGAATAGCTGTCTATGGCTCAGCATCTCAGGGTGAACGGCCTGTTATCTTTCTCAAAGACATGAGCAGAGGCAGAGTTCCTCTGTAAACTCAGAGTGATTAAATATCTACACACAAAGTGTCCACTGAACTCAGGGCCCTTGGAATTGAATCGTGCTTGTTCTGGTGCTGAGCTGCCCTGAACAGAGGTCACTTGGCTTTGGGTAAAGAAGACTGGTGCTCAAAACATGGGCTGCTCTGGGTCACGGTCACGGTCAAGCCTTTCTTAGTATAGACTCAGAAGCAGGAGCCTGAGAAGGGACACAAAAAATTCTCTCCAGGAACAGACTTCTCACCTCCAGACTTCTCTCTGGGATGGGAGGCATTAACCCTTCAGTGCCTCTTTCTTTTCTTTTCTTTCTTATTTTCTGATTTGGAGTCTCACTCTGTCGCCCAGGCTGGAGTGCAGTGACATGCTCACGGCCACTGCAGCCTCGACCTCCTGGGCTCAGGTGATCCTTCCAAGTAGCTGGAACTACAGATGCACGCCACCACGCCTGGCTAGTTTTTGTGATTTATTGTAGAGGTGAGGTCTCACCAAGTTGCCCAGGCTGGTCTCGAACACCCACGCTCAGGCAATCCTCTTGCCTCGGCCTCCCAAATGCTGGGATTACAGGCTGCACCACTGCGCCTGGCCGATGCCACTTTCAGAGTAAGGAGAAAGTGTCTCAGGGGCTTGGGAACTCTTGTGAGCTCTTTCCTTAAGAAAATGGTAGTTGAACTGGGTGCGGTAGCTCACGCCTTTAATCCCAGCACTTTGGGAGGCCGAGGTGAGAGGATTATCTGAGCCTGTGGTTCACGACCAGCCTGGGCAACTTGGCGAGACCCACTCTTTTTTTTTTTTGAGTTGGAGTCTCATTCTGGCTCCCAGACGAGTGCAGTGGCCGCTCCAGGCCACTGCAACCACAGCCTCGACCTGCTGGGCTCTGGCGATCCTTCCACCTCAGCCTCCCAAGTAGCTGGAACTACAGGCGCACGCTACCATGCCCGGCTAATTTTTTGATTTCTTGTAGAGATGAGGTCTCGCCAAGTTGCCCAGGTGGGTCTCGAACCCGCGGACTCAGGCAATCCACTCACCTCAGCCTCCCAAAGGCACAGGATTACAGGCTGAGCCACTGAGCCCATCTGAGACCTACTCTTTACAATAAATAAAAAAATTAACCAGGCATGGTGGTGTGTACCTATAGTTCTGGCTACTTGGAAGGCTGAGGCAGGATTGTCTGAGCTCAGCAGGTCAAGGCTGCGGTAGCCGAGAGTGTGCCACTACCCTCTAGCCTGGGTGACAGAATGAGACTCCAACTCAAAAAAAAAAAAAGAAAAAGAAAATGGTAGTTGGTTGTGGTGGCACAAACCTATCATCCAAGCACTTTGGGAGGCCGAGGCAGGAAGATTGCTTGAACCCAGGAATTTGAGGCCAGCCTGGGCAACATAGTGAGACCTTATCTTTGCAAACAAATAAAAAAATTAGCTGGGTGTGATGGCAAGTGTCTGTAGTCCCAGCGACCCAGGAGGCTGAGGCAGAAAGATGGCCTGAGCCCAGGAGGTCGAGGCTGCGGTGAGCTGTGATCGTGTCACTGTATTCCAGCCTGGGTAACAGAGTGAGACTTGATTCAAAAATTGAAAATAAAATAAAATAACAAATAAATAATAAATAAAATAAAAGAATTTTTTTTGAAAAAAGAAAAGCAATATGGCATCTGTAATGTGGCATCAAGTCTATGGATAACAGGGACAAGAGTTGGGTCTTCAGTCATGGCAGCAAAGAACAACAGGGAGGTTGTGGCAGTTTCTCTTCAAACTGTCAGGCTAGCCAGGTGCAGTGGCTTACATCTATAATCCCAGCACTTTGGGAGGCCGAGGTGAGAGGATTGCCTGAGTCTAGGGGTTTGAGACCATCCTGGGCAACTTGGCGAGACCTCGTCTCTACAATAAATTAGCGGGGCGTGGTGGTATGTGCCTGTGGTTCCAGCTACTTGGAAGGCTGAGGCGGAAGGATTGCGGGAGCCCAGCAGGTCGAGGCTGCAGTGGCCGTGAGCGTACCACTGCACTCTAGCCTGGGTGACAGAGTGAGACTCTGACTCAAAAAACAAACAGGCCGGGCTCGGTGGCTCATCCTGTAATCCCAGCACTTTGGGAGGCCGAGGTGAGTGGATTGCCTGAGCCCGCAGGTTCGAGACCCGCCTGGGCAACTTGGGGAGACCTCATCTCTACAATAAATCAAAAATGAGCCAGGCGTGGTAGCGTGCGCCTATAGTTCCAGCTACTCGGAAGGCTGAGGCGGAAGGATCGCTGGAGCCCGGCAGGTGGAGGCTGCGGTGGCCGGAGCGGCCACTGCACTCATCTGGGAGACAGAGTGAGACTCCAACTCAAAACAAACAAACAAACAATAAACTGTCAGGCTCAGGAATTCTGGGTCACATGATGGATCCCTAAACCACAATCTGCCCTGGCCTTTCTTTTCTTTTTTTTTTAAAAACGGGGTCTCGCTCTGTTTTTAAACATCCTGGAGAGTAGTGGCGTGATCACAGCTCACTGTAGCCTCAAACTCCTGGCCTCAAGTGATCCTCTTACCTCAGCCTCCTGAGTTGCTGGAACTACAGGCTCGAGCTACCCCACCTGGCTACCTCTGTCTTTCTTTTTTTTTTTTTTTAGTTGGAGTCTCACTCTGTCACTCAGGCTGGAGTGCAGCGGCACGCTCATGGCCACTGCAGCCTCGATTTGCTGGGCTCAGGCGAGACTTCTGCCTCAGACTTCCAAGTAACTGGAACCGCAGATGCGCTCCACTGCGCCTGGTTAATTTTTTTTATTTATTGTAGAGATGAGGGCTCACCAAGTTGCCCAGGATGGTCTTGAACCCATAGTCTCAGGCAATCTTTTCACCTTGGCCTCCCAAAGTGCTGGCATTATAGGTATGGGCCACCACTCCCGGCCTCCTCTGCCTTTCTTGAGTGTCTGCCTGCTTTTGTTTGGCTTTTCCTTTTGGTGAAATATAGTCAGACTATTTTATTTAATTCCAAGGGAAAATTCTCTATTATTCTGGAATTTACTATCCATATGCTTTACGTTGGCCTACTTGCAAACTCATTTGCTTATTCAACTCTTTTTTTTTTGGATTTGGAGTCTCACTCTGTGGCCCAAGCTGGAGTGCAGTGGCACGCTTCCGGCCACCGCAGCCTCAACCTGCTAGGCTCAGGTGATCCTTCCGTCTCAGCCTTCCTAGTAGCTGAAACTACAGAGGCGCGCTACCACACCTGGCTAATTTCTGATTTGTTGTAGAGATAAGTTCTTGCCAAGTTGTCCGGGCTGGTCTCGAACCCGCAGTCTCAGGCAATCCATTTGCCTCGGCCTCCCAAAGTGCTGGGATTACAGGCTGAGCCACCGAGCCCGGTCTTGTTTATTCAACTCTTATTAAGCACTGACTAAGTCACCACCATGGCCCTAGGTGCTGGGGGCGGGGTAATGGGATGCACAGGACACAGCCATCGGAGGGTGCTTCCTCGGTCAGGAGAGACCCCTGGAAGCCAGACGGAGACAGGGCCACCTATCAGGGGCGACTGCAACAGCTGACTAGGAGAAGATGGGGTCTGACCCAGCAAGTGGCAGAGATCACAGAACTAAGAGCACAAGTGTGTGTTATAGCAGACGGCATCACTGGGACTGAGTAGCTGACCAGGGTTGGGGGACGGGAGGGGAGCGACCATGGAGGACCATGCATGCTTCCGCCTGGTGGCTGGAGAAATGGGCAGGCCGCAAACAGCAAAAGAAGGCTATGAGGACAGCAGTAATGCGGCAGGGAGGGAAGGCTGAATCAGTGGTGATAAACTTGAGTTGCCAGCCAAGGTGGAAGGTTCTGGTCAGGAATCGGGAAGCATCTTTTATTTTCTGAGTTGAAGTCTCTCTCACTCCGTCACCCAGGCTGGAGGGCAGTGGCAGGCTCCTGGCCACTGTAGCCTCAACCTGCTGGGCTCAGGCTATCCTCTCACCTCAGTCTTCCAAGTAGCTGGAACTACAGGCACATGCCACCTTGCCCGGCTAATTTTTCTGATTTATTGTAGAGGTGAGGTCTCACCAAGTTGCCCGGGCGGGTCTCGATCCCCTGGGCTCAGGCAATCCTCTCACCTCAGCCTCCCAAAGTGCTGGGATTATAGGTGTGAGCCACTGTGCCCGGCCGGGAAGCCTCTTCTTAAGAGTTTCTTAGGTACCGCGTGAGGTCAGGCCACACGTCCTGGGTAAGTCACACTTGGGGAAAGGTGAACTTCACCTTCCATGGAGATGACAGTGAGTAAATCGCTGTGGAAAGTGGGGGGCTGGAGAAGGGCTTGTGTTCAAAGAGTGACGGAAGAGACCGAGCTGGCCATGCGACAGCTCTCCATCCGGAGAGCACAGAGTCACAGCAGGCGAAGGGCCTGAGAGTCAAGGCGGGGAGGGGCCCTGGCTGGGCGTGCACCTCACCAGTGCCTCCAGCCATGGAGGAGGGTGACCTGGGCGGGGGCAATGGCCAGGGCATGCTGGGGGCTTCAATAACTTCTGAGAGCAGGTGGAGGAGGGGGCTTCTGCCTCTGAGCTGATACCAGGTGCTTAGAACAGAGGGTGGATGCCTCGAGGCTTCATGGAGAGACAGGAGTTGGTGCGACACCCTCAGGAGAGCCCTTGAGGGTGGGCGGGGACCAAGGGGAGGGGTTTCACTGTCAGGCCATACTGCCAAGAGGACAAGCAGGCAGGGGCTGTCTCCCCTGCCCTCAGCCCAAGGACCCAAAGTGTTGGAGTTATAATAATGACTTCCAGTTGTTCCCTGAGTTCACTAGGGCCAAGTACAGCGTCTTACAATAAATTATCCACATTGGAAGTCCTACCCAAGTAGTCATCCAGAGAAAACTTGTCATTGTCCCATATCTGAACGATCAGTCTGGGGGGGACCCGGAATTCCGTCTGGTCGATACTCCAGAAATGCTCCTAAAAACGAAGAGACCAAGACAAGCCAGTGAATGCGATTCATGGACTGGATACCTGCCCCTGGGACCCCTTGAATCAGAGCCAAGGCTGGGGGCCTTTTCTCTCCTTTGCACCCTGGACACACTCTCCTGTGGCCTCACCCTTTCACTCCATGTTCGTGGAGGGCCGTCAGGCTCCCCAGGAAATCTCAAAGCCACCCGTTGGGTGACAAAAAGGATGTCTAGGGTGGTCCCCAAGCAGAAGGTTTCCTGCCATGTTCCTATCAGTGGGACTTCCTGTGGCCACCCCAGGGGACTGGGAGTGATTGATCTCCCTGCTGAAGACCACGTGGCCCACTTAGCCAATCCTAAACCCAGGAGTTCTAGGCCTGCCCAGATGTCGCCCACCGGGGATGTCACTTCTGCTCAGCAAACTTGCATCCACCCCAGACAGATGTCTGAGTCCTCTCATTTCACATGGGTGAGAAGGCGGGGGCCCCGACTTTGCTCTTTCATCGGTGCAGATTTAGAATGTCCTGGCATGCCTGGTTTTTGAAAAACACCACCAGCTTTTATATGCTTGTGGTCGCCTAAGACCCTCAGATCCCTCACACTAGAGGTAAAGGACTAGGTCTTCGGTCCTGGCCTCAACCCAGACAATATTAGCCAAGAATAATCACACCTCCATAGACCCATTATATATAAGTTCCTCTTGCCTCCACAGAAAGAGAATTCCAGCCAGGTGCAGTGGCTCACACCTATAATTCCAGCCCCTTGGGATGCCAAGGTGGCAGGACTGCTGGAGCCCAGGAGTTTGAGACCGGCCTGGGCAACATCGCAAGATTTCATCTCTACAAAAAATAAAAATCAGCCAACGTGGTGGCACACGTCTGCAGTCCCAGTTACTCAGGAGGCTGAGATGGAAGGATGGTCTGAGCCCAGGAGGTCGAGGCTGTGGTGAGCCGCTGTGACTTTGCCACTGTACTCCAGCCTGGGCAACAGAGTGAGACTCTGACTCAAAAAAAGAATAGTTACTCAGGAGGCTGAGGTGGAAGGATCGTCTTGAGGCCAGGAGGTTGAGGCTGCGGTGAGCCACTGTGATCATGCCACTGTACTCCAGCCTGGGCAACCGAGTGAGACCCTGACTCAAAAAAAGAAAGAAAAGAAAGAGTTCCTCCAGTGTTTCTTGAATCTGAAGGATGACCACTGGGTTGTTTCTTGTTTTTCTTATTCTAGGAGTCTTCCTTTGCAGGGCGCAGAGGGCCTGGCTCTGAGGGTCTGGGGAGCCCACTCTGTCTGTCCTGGGTGGGGTCATGCATCAAGCGGCACCCAGAGAACAGGGAGGCCTAGCCCCGCATGTGGGTAGACGGGGAAGGCAATCCCACGTACAGGTCTATCTGACCCATCTGCCTCCCCACCTGAGAGTACGCATGTCTGCGATCACATCGTGCCTCTGTGCCTCGAGAAAGTCCCCTTGGAGGACATTCACGCCACCTGGCATGATATAAGTGTTCCATGTAGAATCTGCACTGAGCCGGGCCGGCAGAGGCTAGAGGCCTGGCCCGACAGGACACGGATCAGGTGTGGGGAGAGGAGGTGGCCAGACAGAGCTAGGGAGACCAGAACTGGGCAGGGGACCTCGAGAAGACATCCATCAGGCTGGGCTTGGTGGCTCAGTCTGTAATTCCAGCACTTTGGGAGGCCAAGGTGAGTGGATTGCCTGAACCCACGGGTTTGAGACCTGCCCGGGCAACTTGGCAAGACCTCGTCTCTACAATAAACCAAAAATTAGCCAGGCGTGGTAGCGCGCGCCTGTAGTTCTGGCTACTTGGAAGGCTGAGGAGGAAGGATCGCCGGAACCCAGCGGGTCGAGGCTGCGGTGGCTGGGAGCATGCCACCGCACTCTGGTCTGGTGACAGTGAGATTCCAACTCAAAAAAAAAAATAGAAAAGACATCCATCCAGGTGCTAGGCCCCTTTTTAGGATAAAAGAACCCAGATTTTCCTGGGGGACTTCTCCTTCCTCAAATTTGGAAGGAGCCTCCTCTATCAATCACTCCAGAGCCTGGCCAGTCAGAGCCCTGTATCCCTGGGCCAGAGGCACAGGACGCTAATGGTGGAGACAGTGAAGCCCAGTTCAGAACTCTGGTTGGCACCACTCGGGCTTTCTTCTTCTCTTTGGGCTGAGGGTTGCTGGGGACAGAATGTGAGCTGGGGCTGCTGGCCTCCCCCAGGGGAGAACCCGCCTGGAAATGAGACCACAGAGGAAGACAGGGCAGAGGGGCAGGGAGGGTGAGACCAGTTTCTTTTTTGTTTTTATTTTTAAGAGATGGGGTCTCGCTATGTTGCCCAGGCTGGCCTTGAACTCCTAGCTTCAAGGGATCCTTCCGCCTCAGCCTCCCAAAGTGCTGAGATTATAAGCATGAACCACCATGCCCAGTCCAAAAGTGAGACCAGTTTCTAAAGACAACACATCGACATGAGATCCAGACGTTCCTTTCTGGTAATGGGAACCAATAACTCGCTTTTTGGTAAAAACCAGCTTGAGTTCTGCAACTGAAAGCCTCACCAATTAAGACCATGAGGGCCCTGAACCCCCGTGGACATACCTCTGAAGGAGGCAAAGCAGAGGCTGAGGTTTAATAAGGAAGGTGGAGGGGACATTTTACTCGCTTTAGTACTTTTCTGCTTAGTTCTGCCTATCATGAAAGGAATCAGGCTACTTGTCACTAAATAATGCACTTGGGTTGTTATTTTATTTATTTTTTATTTCTTGAGTTGGGGTCTCATTCTGTCTCCCAGGCTGGAGTGCAGTGGCATAATCACAGCTCACTGCAGCCTCAACCTCCTGAACTCAAGCAATCTTCCTCCCTCAGCCTCCAGAGTAGCTGGGACTATAGGTGTGCACCACCATGCCTGGCTAAGTTTTGATTTTTTTGTAGAGATGAGGTCTCGCTATGTTTCCCAGGCGGTCTAGAATTCCTGGGCTCAAGCAATCCTCCCACCTCGGCCTCCCAAATTGCTGGGATTACAGGTGTGAACCATCGTGCCTGGACTGTTGTTGATACTGATAACAGACCAAGACTTCTACGCTTTATCCTTGACCCCACCACTAGTCCGTTAGGGGAAAGAAAGTTGTGTTCCTTTATTCCCTAATTCCACAAATATCTGTCATAGCCGTGTGACCTCGAGCAAGTGTCAAGGTCTCAGATTCCCCCTCTGTGCCAAGAGGGAGCTCAACTCAGCGACCTCCGAGGTCCTGACATCCCCGACATTCTAGAAGTTTCTGACTTAAGGAAGGCCCACGGCACCCACTTCCCACTGGCATATTTCAGAGCTCACTTTTTTAGCCACGATACAGAGTTGTTCTGCTGGGAGGTAGTCAAACGGGAAAATGAATCTCCAGTTAAAATTCCCTTCGCCATCCAAGGACCGGTAATGGACATCTGTTTTCTGTTTGTTTTCTTCATTGCCAGGAATCCAGCTGAAAAGCAGAGGCAAACAGACTCAGCTTCATTGATTGACAAGCCACCTCGCCGCAAAATTGCACAGTGATTAGGGGAGGGAAGAACTGAAGGATTAATGCACTTTTCTTGGGCAGTTTCCAGTTATCTACAGAGCTGGGGGTGATTTATGAAGGGGAGGTGCCCTCCCGCATCCAACACGGGTTGAAGCCAAATAAAATATAGTTCTTCTCAAACCAAAGCAGGAAACCCTTTAGACTTCACTTAACGGGGCTAAGGTGAAATTTTCTGGAAAATATCAACAACATCGCTTCTATTTCGGGTCCGTCGAAGGCTGCTGGCTATGATTTTAGTCTTCACAGCTATAACTCAAAACTGTCTGTCATCACTGCTGAGAAGCTAAATGAATAAGTTCGCTCAAAATCTTAACATTTCCTCTCCCATATTTTACTTAAGCAAACAAAAAAGGCACGAATCGAGTCATCTTACAGCTTCCTTTTGAAAATTACTCTGAAATACACTGTGATCTTATGAATGAGATGGGCAAGGAGGACGGAAGTGAGTTTCCACAAGGCATCTTTTTTTTCAAGCTGGAGTCTCACTTCGTTGCCCAGGCTGGAGTGTGGTGGCACGTTCACGGCCACCGCAGCCTCGACCTGCTGGGCTCGGGGGATCCTTCTGCCTCAGCTTTCCAAGTGGCTGGAACTACAGGCGTGTGCCACCATGTCCGGTTAACTTTTTGATTTATTGTAGAGATGAGGTCTCGCCAAGGTGCCAAGGCTGCTCTCGAACCTGTGGGCTCAGGCAATCCTCTCTCCTCCATTTCCCAAAGTGCTGGGATTACAGGCGTGAGCCACCGCGCCTGGCTCACATGCATCTCTATGAAGATAAATTCCATGGATTCCCTGAGCCCGTGGGTTCGAGACCCACCCAGGAAACGTGGCGAGACCGTGTCTCTACAATAAATCAAAAATTAGCCGGGCGTGGTAGCGCGC